TAACCCTGAGCCATCCCGCAAGTATAAACATATTTTGTGTCTTACAATTGTTTGCTATTCTATATCTGACAGAGTTGTGCTTTTCCTTGCAACTGTTGTCTGTACCATGATACAGGGAATGTCTATTTAGCAAGTTGTTGCATGTCAGGTGGACAAGAATATGCAGTGCTAGAAGTACGCTGCAGCAGTGATTCTCTATGTTCAGACACATTCAAGGGTATTTCTGGCCTCTGACCAGCCTGGAGACCCTAGCTTTGTGCAACTGTGCATTGCTCTGGTCAAGCAATTGACAAAGTGTTCTTGGACTGGCCAGTGCTTTGTTCTTTTAACTGACCACATGTTTAAGCCAGCTGGCAAAGGTTGCTTTCTCATATTATCCTCTGTGGCAACGGTATTTCTTCATGCCATCTCTTTCCAAATCCCTGCACTTTAATGTCCACACATGGTGCTGCCATGTAAGAAATTGTTTCACTGCTCTCTCTGGAAGCTCTGCAGTGGTTCTCGGTGGGACCTGGTTTTGAAGCAGTATGTTCATGGCATGCCATTGGGTCTGTGGTCCTCCAGGCACGGGTAAGCCCTTGAACAACTAAGGTGTCAGGGAGTCATCCAATCCTCCTCAAACAGCCTGCGATCCTAAGTTTTCTCTTTACCTTCTGGTCAGCACAAGCCATACAAATGTTGTTACACTTAGATTGCTGCCTAAAGAGTTTGTAGCACTCATCATTAAAAGCCCATTGCACTCAGTGAGAAGTAGTTGTAAGACAGTTGTTAAGCTGCAAAAAAAATGTTCCAAAACTAACGCTAACCCAAAGTGTTTTGAAAGCATTGATTTCGGTATTGAAAAAAAGGAAGCTACAGGGCAATCATTACTGAAACAACACCATGCCCAATGGAACGCCACACTGCTCTGTGAAGTGGGATCACTGTATTCAAAGTCCAGAGTGTTACACAATACTTAACGGAACAGGTTTAAACATGACTTCAAGTGTTGCTTTTAGCAGAAGAGAACAACAGAACTGCTTTCAGTTGAACAACAGACCATAATCACAAAGTCTCACAAGTCAACAGCATTTGCTTTACTCGTCCCTGGGTGGGCTTGAACCACCAACCTCTCGGTTAACAGCCGAGCGCGCTGGCCGATTGCGCCACAGAGACATGCTCTTCAGTTCTGCTTGTCGTTTGCAACTTGAGACATGCTGTGTACTCTGAGGCCAACATCGGTTACATGATTTCTTTAAAGAAAAACAGCTTTTGTGATGAAATCAATGTGTCCCCTCCAATCAGACTGATCCACAGTTGAGTGGAATTCTATCACACCTACTTGTAACAACGGATCACTTTTCAACGTACTGTGGAAGGGGTTGCGTTGGGTGGTTTGACCCTGTCTAGGAAAGGTGTTTTTAGGGGAGAAGTAATAAAAGACCTGCTCCCAGGTATGAACATTTGAAAGCTTTTATAGACAAGTGAATGTGTGAAGGCACTGCTGGGAGTTGAACCCAGGATCTCCTGTTTACAAGACAGGTGCTTTCTCCAACTAAGCTACAGCGCCCATTGGAAGTCTACAGTTTGGGGCAACTGCTGCAAATATCTCTGCATCAAGCCTTCCAAAGTGTCTGAGGTGGGTTGCCACATTGTATTTCCATTGCCTTTTGCCCGAAGCTGCTGTCGGTACTTAGGACATTGCCACCAACTATAAGGAAATGCAAAAGAGGCACTGCTGGGATTTGAACCCAGGATCTCCTGTTTACTAGACAGGCACTTTGACCAACTAAGCCACAGCGCCATCAATTGATTTGCTTTGAGAATGTTTCATATTAAGTGTGTAACTGAATCGAATCAGCTTGTTACATCTTTACTCCCTGTGCTGGAAAGATGCCAGTGTTGAAGGTTGGCTAGCAGACCAAGATGACAATCTCTCACAAGTCATTTGATCACCCAGTTTTCACAGCCCCTCAGCATTCATGTTTGTTGGTCCAATTTTGGAACAGATAGAAAAGTGCCACAATAACCCTGAGCCATCCCGCAAGTATAAACATATTTTGTGTCTTACAATTGTTTGCTATTCTATATCTGACAGAGTTGTGCTTTTCCTTGCAACTGTTGTCTGTACCATGATACAGGGAATGTCTATTTAGCAAGTTGTTGCATGTCAGGTGGACAAGAATATGCAGTGCTAGAAGTACGCTGCAGCAGTGATTCTCTATGTTCAGACACATTCAAGGGTATTTCTGGCCTCTGACCAGCCTGGAGACCCTAGCTTTGTGCAACTGTGCATTGCTCTGGTCAAGCAATTGACAAAGTGTTCTTGGACTGGCCAGTGCTTTGTTCTTTTAACTGACCACATGTTTAAGCCAGCTGGCAAAGGTTGCTTTCTCATATTATCCTCTGTGGCAACGGTATTTCTTCATGCCATCTCTTTCCAAATCCCTGCACTTTAATGTCCACACATGGTGCTGCCATGTAAGAAATTGTTTCACTGCTCTCTCTGGAAGCTCTGCAGTGGTTCTCGGTGGGACCTGGTTTTGAAGCAGTATGTTCATGGCATGCCATTGGGTCTGTGTCCTCCAGGCACGGGTAAGCCCTTGAACAACTAAGGTGTCAGGGAGTCATCCAATCCTCCTCAAACAGCCTGCGATCCTAAGTTTTCTCTTTACCTTCTGGTCAGCACAAGCCATACAAATGTTGTTACACTTAGATTGCTGCCTAAAGAGTTTGTAGCACTCATCATTAAAAGCCCATTGCACTCAGTGAGAAGTAGTTGTAAGACAGTTGTTAAGCTGCAAAAAAAATGTTCCAAAACTAACGCTAACCCAAAGTGTTTTGAAAGCATTGATTTCGGTATTGAAAAAAAGGAAGCTACAGGGCAATCATTACTGAAACAACACCATGCCCAATGGAACGCCACACTGCTCTGTGAAGTGGGATCACTGTATTCAAAGTCCAGAGTGTTACACAATACTTAACGGAACAGGTTTAAACATGACTTCAAGTGTTGCTTTTAGCAGAAGAGAACAACAGAACTGCTTTCAGTTGAACAACAGACCATAATCACAAAGTCTCACAAGTCAACAGCATTTGCTTTACTCGTCCCTGGGTGGGCTTGAACCACCAACCTCTCGGTTAACAGCCGAGCGCGCTGGCCGATTGCGCCACAGAGACATGCTCTTCAGTTCTGCTTGTCGTTTGCAACTTGAGACATGCTGTGTACTCTGAGGCCAACATCGGTTACATGATTTCTTTAAAGAAAAACAGCTTTTGTGATGAAATCAATGTGTCCCCTCCAATCAGACTGATCCACAGTTGAGTGGAATTCTATCACACCTACTTGTAACAACGGATCACTTTTCAACGTACTGTGGAAGGGGTTGCGTTGGGTGGTTTGACCCTGTCTAGGAAAGGTGTTTTTAGGGGACAAGTAATAAAAGACCTGCTCCCAGGTATGAACATTTGAAAGCTTTTATAGACAAGTGAATGTGTGAAGGCACTGCTGGGAGTTGAACCCAGGATCTCCTGTTTACAAGACAGGCGCTTTCTCCAACTAAGCTACAGCGCCCATTGGAAGTCTACAGTTTGGGGCAACTGCTGCAAATATCTCTGCATCAAGCCTTCCAAAGTGTCTGAGGTGGGTTGCCACATTGTATTTCCATTGCCTTTTGCCCGAAGCTGCTGTCGGTACTTAGGACATTGCCACCAACTATAAGGAAATGCAAAAGAGGCACTGCTGGGATTTGAACCCAGGATCTCCTGTTTACTAGACAGGCACTTTGACCAACTAAGCCACAGCGCCATCAATTGATTTGCTTTGAGAATGTTTCATATTAAGTGTGTAACTGAATCGAATCAGCTTGTTAACATCTTTACTCCCCTGTGCTGGAAAGATGCCAGTGTTGAAGGTTGGCTAGCAGACCAAGATGACAATCTCTCACAAGTCATTTGATCACCCAGTTTTCACAGCCCCTCAGCATTCATGTTTGTTGGTCCAATTTTGGAACAGATAGAAAAGTGCCACAATAACCCTGAGCCATCCCGCAAGTATAAACATATTTTGTGTCTTACAATTGTTTGCTATTCTATATCTGACAGAGTTGTGCTTTTCCTTGCAACTGTTGTCTGTACCATGATACAGGGAATGTCTATTTAGCAAGTTGTTGCATGTCAGGTGGACAAGAATATGCAGTGCTAGAAGTACGGCTGCAGCAGTGATTCTCTATGTTCAGACACATTCAAGGGTATTTCTGGCCTCTGACCAGCCTGGAGACCCTAGCTTTGTGCAACTGTGCATTGCTCTGGTCAAGCAATTGACAAAGTGTTCTTGGACTGGCCAGTGCTTTGTTCTTTTAACTGACCACATGTTTAAGCCAGCTGGCAAAGGTTGCTTTCTCATATTATCCTCTGTGGCAACGGTATTTCTTCATGCCATCTCTTTCCAAATCCCTGCACTTTAATGTCCACACATGGTGCTGCCATGTAAGAAATTGTTTCACTGCTCTCTCTGGAAGCTCTGCAGTGGTTCTCGGTGGGACCTGGTTTTGAAGCAGTATGTTCATGGCATGCCATTGGGTCTGTGGTCCTCCAGGCACGGGTAAGCCCTTGAACAACTAAGGTGTCAGGGAGTCATCCAATCCTCCTCAAACAGCCTGCGATCCTAAGTTTTCTCTTTACCTTCTGGTCAGCACAAGCCATACAAATGTTGTTACACTTAGATTGCTGCCTAAAGAGTTTGTAGCACTCATCATTAAAAGCCCATTGCACTCAGTGAGAAGTAGTTGTAAGACAGTTGTTAAGCTGCAAAAAAAATGTTCCAAAACTAACGCTAACCCAAAGTGTTTTGAAAGCATTGATTTCGGTATTGAAAAAAAGGAAGCTACAGGGCAATCATTACTGAAACAACACCATGCCCAATGGAACGCCACACTGCTCTGTGAAGTGGGATCACTGTATTCAAAGTCCAGAGTGTTACACAATACTTAACGGAACAGGTTTAAACATGACTTCAAGTGTTGCTTTTAGCAGAGGAGAACAAGAGAACTGCTTTCAGTTGAACAACAGACCATACTCACAAAGTCTCCCAAGTCAACAGCATTTGCTTTACTCGCCCCAAATGTGAGAATCTCGACTGCATAATTTGTGGTAGTGGGGGACTGCGTTCGCGCTCTCCCCTGATGGATTGTCGAAAGTAATAAGGGGGAAACAGATAGGGACATGCTGCCTTCCAACCTGGCTGTAGCAACAGACAGACAGCAAGAATTTCCAAGGTGGCTTAAAAGCTATGCGCAGCCAGTGTCTTTGCTAGTGCTAGATCACAATATCACTCGTCAATCAAATTTGTTTCAGATTCAGCAGCCCTTGCTCTGATCAATGTGAAATCCCAGTCACGGCACATCTGCCTTACAGAACGGCTGTGGGCCAATAAAAGGCCCCAATCTTCTCCTGTCTTTTGGTTCACTTAAGTCTGCTGCAGATAAATCTGGTGGTTGAGGGTTTGAACTCATTTTTCAGAGCTTGACATAACGCATGTATCTTAAAGGTGCTTCCATCAAAGAGTTTGCTCTTCCGTTTTACCGACGGTCACTTAAAAGCAACGCTCGCTTGCCGGGACCATGGGCGAGGAGGACTGTATGGGGAATGTGATGCCGGCCTTAGCCTGTCAGGGCATCGCTTCTCGGCCTTTTGGCTAAGATCAAGTGTAGTATCTGTTCTTATCAGTTTAATATCTGATACGTCCCCTACCCGGGACCATATATTAAATTGATTTTTGGACTTGGGAGATGGAACAGGGGCTTGCTCCGTCCACTCCACGCATCGACCCGGTATTGCAGTACCTCCGGGAACGGTGCACCCCCTCTCTTCAGTGTTTAAAATAATCCTTTCTTTTCACTGCATTTAAGAGAAATATGTGTGTGAGTCTGGCCTGGCTTTGTCACTGCGTTGACATGCTGCCGGGACGCAAGCTTTTTGAAATGAACTGGAATTTTAGTCAGGTTTGGGGTTATTTGTGTGCCAGTTCCCCCATTTGCCACTCTGTGTATGCTATTGCTGTAGTAGCACACAGACACGCAATAACATATCAACAGTCATTGTTGCAAAGTGTTTCTGGCCTAGCTGCTGCTTCGACTGTTCTTTTGTTGGCGGTAAGAAAAACACACACACACACACACACTGGCGGTAGCTATCGGTTGGCTTTGATGTGGAAGTGTGGCACGACCTGTTAGAATGATGAGCCTTATTTCTCCACTTGCATGTAGAAAGACAAGCCTATCGGGCCTCAACACAAAACTTTCTTCTGTGTTGAGGACAAGTAGAAGGGACACCCAGTGCAGAAACTCTGATTTCGGTGGTTCGCATGTTGTTGGGACCGTCAGTCAGGGCGATGGTCCTGTGAAGGACTCCTTTTGCCCTGAGCTGTACAACTCATACTTACCTGGCAGGGGAGATACCATGATCAAGAAGGTGGTTCACCCATGGCGAGGCCTGGCCATTGCACTCCGGTGGGGCTGACCTATGCGAATTCCCCAAATGTGGGAATCTCGACTGCATAATTTGTGGTAGTGGGGGACTGCGTTCGCGCTCTCCCCTGATGGATTGTCGAAAGTAATAAGGGGAAACAGATAGGGACATGCTGCCTTCCAACCTGGCTGTAGCAACAGACAGACAGCAAGAATTTCCAAGGTGGCTTAAAAGCTATGCGCAGCCAGTGTCTTTGCTAGTGCTAGATCACAATATCACTCGTCAATCAAATTTGTTTCAGATTCAGCAGCCCTTGCTCTGATCAATGTGAAATCCCAGTCACGGCACATCTGCCTTACAGAACGGCTGTGGGCCAATAAAAGGCCCCAATCTTCTCCTGTCTTTTGGTTCACTTAAGTCTGCTGCAGATAAATCTGGTGGTTGAGGGTTTGAACTCATTTTTCAGAGCTTGACATAACGCATGTATCTTAAAGGTGCTTCCATCAAAGAGTTTGCTCTTCCGTTTTACCGACGGTCACTTAAAAGCAACGCTCGCTTGCCGGGACCATGGGCGAGGAGGACTGTATGGGGAATGTGATGCCGGCCTTAGCCTGTCAGGGGCATCGCTTCTCGCGTTTTGGCTAAGATCAAGTGTAGTATCTGTTCTTATCAGTTTAATATCTGATACGTCCCCTACCCGGGGACCATATATTAAATTGATTTTTGGACTTGGGAGATGGAACAGGGGCTTGCTCCGTCCACTCCACGCATCGACCCGGTATTGCAGTACCTCCGGGAACGGTGCACCCTCCTCTCTTCAGTGTTTAAAATAATCCTTTCTTTTCACTGCATTTAAGAGAAATATGTGTGTGAGTCTGGCCTGGCTTTGTCACTGCGTTGACATGCTGCCAGGACGCAAGCTTTTTGAAATGAACTGGAATTTTAGTCAGGTTTGGGGTATTTGTGTGCCAGTTCCCCCATTTGCCACTCTGTGTATGCTATTGCTGTAGTAGCACACAGACACGCAACAACATATCAACAGTCATTGTTGCAAAGTGTTTCTGGCCTAGCTGCTGCTTCGACTGTTCTTTTGTTGGCGGTAAGAAAACACACACACACACACACACTGGCGGTAG